TGGTAAAAAGCTACACCACAAATCTGCCTGGCTGGACCCGATCAGCCGTGATGGTGTTGACTATTGCAGATTGTGTTACTACCTCCCGCAGTAGTCGGTACAAATGGACATCAATAGTGGAAGGCTTGTGCCCAAAGGCTGTCACAATAGCCTCGCCCATATTCCATACCTGTCTTTGCTCTGTTCTGCCTTCAACATACCACCTGCCGCAGGAAGTTAGCCATTAGCCGTTCAAAGACTCGGAAGGAATATCTAATTTAGTAGCACTTAGAACCTACATTCAAGACAAGCGAGAATCAACGCTCGACCGTATGTTTTTCTCATGCAATATCACTAACAAAAACCTCAAAAAGGAAATTTTGTTGGTGGAATGTGGTAACGGCTTTTGCTACTTCGCCCCGGCGCTGTTCCCCGCACCACCCCTTTTCTCTTTTTCTTGACAGTATCGGCTTGTAGGAATCATGGCACTAGTTGAGATGATCAGACCACAACAAATCTCGCGATCCGTTCGATGTGTTGGTTTGCTGCATTCTTGCATTCTCCCCAGTCCATGAGCACTGATTGCTGCGTTCCAATTGGCCAAGAAAAAAATGCTGTTGGTAAGTTGGTCCAATGTACCGTCAAGGAGACTTCTCTTCCTGACAAGCAGGCTCCTGCCTGTCATGCGCGGATTCCTTAATCTCCTCGATGGCTTTTAAGGAAACAGTTCAGATCTTCAGCATCTTCGTTCTCTTCTTGTATGAAACCGTCATTGAACCCCCTACGATCTTCTTCTACCAAGACCACATCAAAATGTCTTCAGAGACCTACGATATCGTCATCGTCGGCGGTGGTACCTCAGGCCTTGTTCTGGCGAATCGCCTCTCTAAAGACCCGAACTTACAAGTTATTGTTCTTGAAAGCGGTGAAGACCGTACCGCAGACGCGACCACGCTGACCCCCGGCGCCTGGCCGTTACTTACTAACTCCCCAGCTGACTGGACGTTCCAGACGGTCCCCCAAAAAGAGCTCACAAGGCAGATCACAATCCCGCAGGGAAAGGCTCTAGGAGGCTCCAGTGCTATCAACAGCTTCCTCTTCACCTCGACGTCTAAAGCCACTGTAGAAGCATGGAAAAATCTGGGCAACGAAGGCTGGGACTTTGCCGCATACCAAGAGGCCCTGAAGAGATCATTTACTCTACATAAGCCGCTGGGTGTGACCGAGGGTGAAGGTCCTCTCCAGGTCACACTTGCCGTACCTGAGAGTGATTGGGACAAAGCCTGGATTGACGGCCTGCAATCCGTGGGATATCCGACAACCGACCCTCTCTCTGGGAGTCTTGGCGGACCAAATATCGCGTCGGAGACTATTAATTCTAAAACAAAGCAGAGGAGTTATGCTACTAATGCATATCTGGATCCAGTCCGTAGCAGACCGAATCTGACCGTCAGAACAGGGACGACAGTGACGAAAGTATTGCTCGAAAAGCATTCATCCACTGAGAATGCTGCCGCCAAAGGGGTCCAAATCTTTTCTAAGAGCGGCGCTTTTGAAACTATCGGAGCCCGCAAGGAAGTCATTCTTTCTGCCGGCGCCATCAACTCAGCCCGACTCCTCGAGCTTTCGGGAATAGGGGGAGCTGACTTGCTACAGAGTCTGGAAATTGATGTCCTAGTTGGCAACCCACACGTGGGCGAAAATCTTCAAAATCATCTGTTTACAGGGTTGGTATTCGAAGCACGCGACGACGTTGATACTCTCGACGCTCTCTTTCGCCAGGAACCCAACGCTGTTGCGGCCGCTATGCAAGGTTATACGACCAAAGGGACCGGCCCAATGAGTACTAGTAATATGATTACCATGGCCACTTCCGCTGCCCGAGTTCCATGCCGAAGATGGACGCAAGGAGCTCGACCAGCTGCTGGGCACCACCTTGGGTCCTAACTCGGATGTGTCTCGCTCCCCAGCAACCACTCCAGCCTTCGCGGCGGCACACGAAGCTTTTGTGCACTCGGTCCTCACAGACCCCTCAGGAGCAGTGGGTAACTACGTCTTCGGCACAGCATATGCGCCCTTCGAGGCCCCCAGCCGAACCTATCGTGCTCCTGGCAAGTTCATCTCAGTTGCAGTCGAATTATCGCACCCTCTATCCCGCGGCTCTGTGCATATAACTAGTGCCAAGCCAGAAAACACCAGCACCAACGATGGCGTGCAAATCAACTGCCGTTATCTTTCCCACCCGCTAGACCTCGAGGTGCTCGCGCGCCAGGTCCGCTTCACGGAGGGCATCGTTAGTCGCGCGGAGCCGATCACACGATATCTGAAGCCGTATACCAAGCGGTTCACGGACCTGGAACTGGCAAAGGATTATGTTCGCCGTACGGTGGATGCTGCTTACCACTACACCGGCACGTGCTCCATGATGCCACGTGCCATGGGTGGCGTGGTGGACAATAAACTGCGCGTGTATGGGTGCTCTAACCTCCGTGTTTGCGATGCGAGTATCATTCCCCTAGAGCCAACGGCGAACCCCCAAGCAGTTATCTATGGGGTTGCGGAGCTGGGCGCTAGCATCATCAAGAAGGACTTATTGTGAGTTGAGACGGCAACTTGGGATGCTCTATTATCGAACTGGGAGGCGAATGGATATTGGCGGCATTATGGAAGGGAGTGCTACGACTCAGGCTTCAGATAGTGTTTATGGAGCTTGGCTCGCGAGTCGTGGGGAAGAAGAGGTAAGGTGGCGAAGGAATTTGTATCGCGCTCGCCGATGACTCTCATTTAAACTCATACTTCGTATTTTGTATTACGTTTTCAAAGCAACCATCCTCTATAGTATAGTTCTTGGCTAGTGCGTATCTTGAACACCTCTAGCAGGCCGTACGGTAACCTCTAGCACGACGAGCAATAGGAAAGAATCAGCTGATATGGTTACCAAGTAATATAATCTGGACGCTAGATATGATCTCATGTAGATGCGTTTCTCTCCGGGGAACTCGGAAGGTATCAGCGATTGGGCTGTAGTATTCGAGGAATAGAGCGTGAAATTCGAGCACTAAGCTTGTCCTCAGTCACCGCTATCATGACTCCCATGAAATAGGCTGGTTCTTCATAACTAGGCACGCTTTTGTAATGGTAACGGCGGTACACGAGGGCGCAAGAACTTAGCGCCTACTTCAAAATCGCCTGCCAGCCCTTCCGACCAACATACTCAGTCACGCCCTCATCCCTCAGTACCTCGCTACCTAGCCGTCCCGTAACCACACTTCGCTCGTGCTCGACGCCGCGAACGTAAAAGGGGTAGGTCAGCCGTGAGACGGCAGTCTCATCTTCATCCGTTCTCTTCCCCTTACCGTCTTCTCTTTTCTGAAGAGGATCTATCGGCAAGCTTGAATCAGAATCTGCACTTTCCCAAACAATCCTTCCTTCTCTCCGTCGCTTCACGAACCCACTCGCCTCGCGGTCTAAGGATAGATACCACCGCCGCTGGTGCACGCTACCAATCGAGTTCGTCGCGCCAGGGTACGCATTGGTCCTGCGGACTTCCTCGTCTTCAAGCTCACGTAATTCGCGCTCAGTCGCCGAGATACCCTTTTCGCCTTCATTCACCTGCTCGGCGGCCGCATGCACGATTTCTGAGTCGTCTTCGTCATTACCGGTCCCAATACCCTCCGGCTGCTTTCCAGCGCCTCTTCGGGAGCGATTTGAGGAAGAACCCGGTTCAGAGTCTGAGCTCGTAGTGTACTCAGGGGTGTTCTTGCCTTTCGCAGATCTGGTTGTCCTACTTGAGGGCGTAGACGGAGCCCCGCGACGCCTTCGCGTTTTGGGGACCCGGGTGCTGCGTGCCCGGCCTGCGGCATCTTCCTCGCGCGTTAGACGTAGATATAACACATATGGTGTTGGTAGGCGAGTGCCGTGAAGTTGTATCCGGATCTTCCGCGCTGCAAACGCTTGATGCAACTTCTGCTGCTCTGTCATTTGCTGCTCCTCGCTTTCTTCATCTGACGAAGATTGCGAGTCATCTCGTGACTTCTTGCGCTCTGTTGGCAAGATGGTGTAAGTTCCTGTATCCCAGATGAGGAGAGAGCCGGTGGCGTGGGAACCGGTTTCAATGAGATGATTCTGTCGCTCGTTAGTGTATTCGTCGGTGACATAGTGAAAGCATTACAGAAATCATTACTTGCCCATAAACAGTGTATCCGCGTCTCTGTCGCATTCCGATTCAGCCGAAAGCTATTCGGATCCCCGGGCAGTCCGTACATGATGGCCCATGACGCACTGCTCGTCTCATTGATTTGCAGCCGTAGGTCGTAATGCGTGCCTGCAATCGGGTGGTCATGCTGATGCATGATGAAGTGCGCACCCTGGGAACTTCCCGCGTTGGCCTCGTACAATTTCCGATACCCTTCCACAGCGAGGTGAGGAGTATCCGAAGGGAAAGGTGACACAGCAGTCTCTTGTAAACGCGTACTGAAGTAGTTGAGATGGTCGTCTATACTGGCTTTGCCGGCTTCGACGGCGGAGGTGGTTGGTTGCTCCTCATCTTGTCTATGCGAGGGTTCTTTGTCGTCATCGGAGCTGCTTGAGCTAGCAGCATCATGGGGCAAACCAGTGATATCAATGCTCCATTCTAGATTTCTCTTTTTGATGAAGGGGTTTGGCACCAGCTCTGGGCTGCGCGATCGTTTAGATGCCATGATGATCATCACTAGCGGCTTGAGTTTGGTAGACGGTGGTAATGTAGACGATATATGCTAGAGCATTGCCGGCGCAGATAAAAGGCCTAGAAGTTATGTCAACTGCTTGATTGAAAGAAGATCTCAAAGATGGGACAGATGTCCGAACACAATCAAGGGTTGCTGCAGACGAAAACCAAGACCGTCGTCACAACTGTATATCTTAAAATTCAATCAACGTCACACACTTATCTATATCACCATACCCAACCAACATTTGTACCACTGCCTGGGCATATCAAAACAAAAAAGAAGTTGAATCTTTCCAAGCAAAACCAATGCTGATGAGAGTGGGACTCGAACCCACGCGGATTGCTCCACTGCGAAATTTCTTCAAATTTTGATTCAGCTGACCTGAACGCAGCGCCATAACCACTCGGCCATCTCACCCTCTTCTTTCTTTCTTGCCCGCGGTCTGAAATTCAGGCGGTTATGTAGTACAACAATAACGGGTTTGCTACTCAACTACCTAGGTAGGCAGTAGCTATTCAAGACCGCCACCATCTACATATAGACGCCGTGTGTAATAAAGCATCTTTGAGCTACTGGGTCGGTCGGGAGTTGAATACATTCTCCCTCGCCTCCAACCAATTGCTAACTCCATAAGTCTAGAAAGGTAAACAGAACAAAAAGCAAAACTGAGAGCCAATACGTCAAGGCGTCCCCAGAACTAGGTACTCGTTCCCATGCGTGCCCTGGCAAGCATATCGGACCACTTTGTTCGCAACTAGTGATCTTCGACATCATGTAAAAGAACTAATAGCGATCCCTTATTCCTTCCAAACTTGTAATTATCCTAGACTAGGGATCCTGGTTTCAAAACTCAGTGAGCTGGCTGCGAAGAGGGGTTCGTTCTATCGCTATCCTATAGGGGGTAGGAGGTGGGAAAATGCGGTGTCCAAGTTGGTAGCCGTTACCGCGGGCGAGATTCTAACATCGGAGACCGGGACGTCTCGTCTTGAGATTTGGAGCGCCTTTAGAACCTTGGTAGCCTGCTCGGTTCACCCAGTCTCTGCCGTAGTAGGCTGAATAGTCGTCTAAGCTTTTGCCGCCATGTTTGAGGGGGTTGGGACTCGCCCGAGTTTGCCGCATAACCCGTACTCGTCCTGGAGTAGCTGGTAGGATTTTAACCAATGCTGTGCTTGCCTGTCCCCTACGCCAAGTATGTAGCATCGCGGTCATAGGCACGACCCGGTGAGATGATCCATCGTGTCCTTGAATTTTCCAACGACAGTAGCGGTATCCGCGTCTTTATTTCTCTTCGCCGTGATGGCGTCATCGTGACGATGCTCCTGTCGGGCAAAGGAACGTGGCTCCCCAAAGACATCGTCGGGATGGATATGAAGACCTTCTAGGTCAACATCGATGTAGTCGTCCTATGCTTTGTCATTCCCATATAACAGGGCTGAGATTCTAGTGTTATATGTATGCAGAGGGTCGGGCGATATATGGCTTCCAGGGGCCGGAGTGTGAGCTGAGGTGGTTGGGTTCGTTTTACGTTGTGTCGTAATCTAGCTGGTTATAGAATGAGTCTCTGACAGAGCTGGTCATATCATACGAATAAACGCGCTCCACATAAGCTCTAGATAGCCAAGAAGTCTTCCAAGGGGGCCTCTGGCGTGCCCGAGCAATGGCAATTGTCGCAGACCACTAGAACAACATCTTTAATAACTGACTGTGCCGACGGATAATTCCTCGTATAAGAGCTGTATACTTCCCATATAAGCGAATGAATAAGCGTCGAGACAAATACCGACTAGATGTAAACCTAAGACAGTATATGAAATAATGTTGGAAAATTAAATACCACGACGTGGCATTTGGCCGATACCGATATCCGTGGCACTGAGCACCAGCTCCGAGTAAATGTGATAAGGGAGCTGTAAGACTCTTGAAAGTAGAAATGGTCACACCTTCTTTCGGGGCCGAAGAAGTGGTCCAAGTTAGGTTGGCTATAGGATAACAAGTGACACTAAGTTTGGGTTTTGAAGGGTCTAGTTTGGGTCTTTGTACTGAGTTATACGGCGGCGAATCCTGCTGCAGAGAGGAATGAGAACGATGGCGAGGAAGATACTGGTGTATCGGCTTGTATTCGTAATGAATAGCTGGGATGCTAGTTTCATGGGCCTCCTATCGACGTATGAGCAATAGCTGAAGCGTTGATCGGGTTGAGAATGGCCCTGAAACGTTTTGCTCAAGTGTTCTTGAGCTGATATATTGTATGAATGGACATTCTATAAGTCTGATTTAATCGGCATCACATTTCTGTCGCAGAAAGATATTAAGTAAGAAATAATTAATATGTATCATTAATACTAACAAAAAGAAACTTATTTCTGGGTGTCGGGTATGCAAAGCGCAGGGGAGGTTATCAAAAACCGATGCCGTTCTGTTATGCTGGAGCAGTCATAATGAAATCAATCAATCAAGACCATTTGCCCGTCCTTTAACGCCGTGGTATGAGCTACACCTGAGCCCTTGTGCCTATGTAATAACCGCCTTTAGCCATCGCGGCATTAATAGGTGAAGCGTGCCTCGCGTTTCGCCGCCAATTCATCGCCCTCTTTCGATGCCCTATGATATCTTCATTGTATGCTTCATCTTTTTCAGAGACCGTTCCCATCCTACGATCGCCGTAGGTCTTTTACTTGTACTGCATAGGTTGTTGACCCTGAGGTGGCGGACCACCCCAGCCTTGATGCGGTCCTTGATTTTGCATCGGTATATTGTTGCCTCCGCCTTTCATGTTCATAACGTCGGGTCTGTTCTCGAGCGGCTGGGCGAAGTTGCAGACGTGGCAGACGACATCGTGGTAACCTTTGAAAGACAGAGGTAGGACAGGCTGCGGGATCAACGAGTTAGCGCATTTCATAGTTGCGCACGCATGTAGCGCGGTTTTATACGGAAACGTAAGATCTGAGAGAATGGGAGAAAGAATTACTTACGACGAAGCAAAAGGTAAACCACGGGTTACTCTTGATGACATGGGCAGCGTAGTTACCACAGTTGTGGCACTGGCAGGTGATGCCCTCGTATCCCTCAACTTCCTTGCGGAAGGTGTGCTCGCCGCAGGTGAAGATCAGACACATGGTTCAGTGAGTGCGGCTGAGGCGGGCCGTCGGTAAGTGGTGATAGTTCGAGACGGCGCAGGCGGCGCAGAGTACGATGCGGTTAAAGACTGTAAGGTAGATAGAACTCGGTCGTGTTGAAGTTGTTTTCGCGTCGCAGGGGAGTCGTAGATGTTCAGGTACGGAGATGGAACCCAATAGGGTATGTGTGGACGTGTGAAGGACTAAGGAAGGTGATCGTGCGAGGTGATCGATTCAGGCGTTCCAGCTCTCATCACTCAATAGAGACATGTGGAAGTGGATGCTTCGTCACTAAGACTGCGCCACGCCACCGATAGAGCTTGGATGTCGCAGCCAAGAACGACAGAGCTGCCCAATAGCGCTGAAGGAGGCGGCATCGGCCGCCTGGAACCACGTCTAGTGTGGGTAATAAGAGGAGACAGAGACGGTACTTGTGTTTTGGCTGATCAGGCAAATAAGTCTACTGTAGCAGCAAGGTACTCTAGCCAAGTCCCTACAGTCACTCACAGGAAGTGGCATGGTTAAGTCTCAGTGTCCTAATTGCAGAGAATAATATATATGACTCCCCAGATAGTCGTAGAAATAAATTATATAAATTATACATTCAGTTCTAATAAGGTTCGTCTTTTGGACAACAATTCCATCTCTTCCGGTTATGAATTGCATGTGTTATCACGGTATTTTGGCTTTCGATAAGATCCACTGTACTCCACAGGAGCTTTCAATGTACCCCAGAGGAGCTTAATCCGATAAGAAAAATACCTGGGCAAGAACATTCACTCTTATCTGATAATCTCGATATAATTTCAAGTTTCGACCCCTCCAGCGCGCCAACAAGGACAAATACTTCATGTCAATTCAAACTCACACCCCATGCCTACATTATTCATATAAAGCATGCTCTACGACCTTAACATAGCGTGGTCCCCCCACGCGAGCGCCACAGACCTCGAGCGCACGCTCCGCTTCAGCGCATCGCTAGGCTACGACGTCGTAGCACTCAACCACACGATCGGGGCGCCCATATCCCCCAACATCACGAACCCGCTCCCGAAATTCGACTCTCCCTCTCCCTCTTCATCCTCCCTCTCAAAACCCAAACTCCCCACCGTTCTCCGCCGCGCCACAATCCTCCTCTCCGAACCCGCACAACACCACCGTCTCCCGCAGCTCGCCTCAGCCTACGACATCCTCGCCGTACGCCCGCAGACCGAAGAAAGCTTCTCGGCCGCCTGCCAGTCCCTCAACGACGTCTCCCTGATCTCCCTCGACCTCACCGTGCGCCAGCCCTTCGTCTTCCGCCCGAAGCCCTGCATGTTCGCCGTCAGCCGCGGCGTGCGCTTCGAGGTGTGCTACGCGCAGGTCCTGCAGGGCGCCGCGCCGGCGCACGTCCTCGGATCTAAGAGCTCTAAGGACGGGTATAGCTATGCTGGTAATACAGGCGTAGGTGTAGGCGTTGACGCGCGCGCCCGCGCGACGTTTATAGGGAATATGGCATCGTTGATCCGCGCGACGCGCGGGCGCGGGATCGTGATTAGTAGCGAGGCGCAATCTGTGCTTGGCTTGAGGGGTCCTGCAGACGTGGTGAATCTGCTTCATGTGTGGGGGTTGCCGACGGGTCGCGCGACGGAGGGACTGGGTGTGTTGCCGCGCGGCGTTGTCGTTAATGAGGGACTGAAGCGCAGCGGTTTCCGGGGTGTTATTGATATTGTCGGTGTTGCGGACCGTGTACAAGGCGGCGACGTTGAAATGGGCGAAGCTGGGGACGATAAGCCTGAGTCTGGCGCCGGAAATGCACAAGGCAACAACAAGTGGAAGAAGAATAAGGGTCAAGAAGGGGGTGGTGGTCCTGGGGCAAAGAAAAGGAAGAATGGTAACGGTGCTGAAGCCGGTGTTGCTACCGGGGGCGATGGCGAAGAACAGCCGATGAGTAAACGTCAGGCGAAGAAAATAAGAGCCGCCCTGCGGAAGAAACAAGTTGAAGATGGGGCAACTGGCACATAATGGGGTTTTGATAACGGGATTGATCTGGCGTTTTGGGCTCGGAGAGAAAAGTTAGACTTAGACTTATGATACCCCTTCAATATACTTGTTACTTCAAAGTAAAGCACTATGCACACTGTGGCCGCATCATGATTCAGTTTCTCTCGTGTGTTTGTTAGACATGCGTATGGTCAGATTCTTTATATTGCATTATATAACCAAGAACAGAAGTGTCCTCCACCAGGGGGTTTTATCAAGATTCAAATCTAAAAGGTTACATATATATATCAAAACAAGTAGTTAGTAAGTTCAACAAAA